TTCACAATGCTTGTGGGTATACAATATTTTTGTTGTTCCATTGTCTGTGGAGATATAGAGACTCTCTGGTTTACCGACTCTAGAAGACGCAACATAGAATTTTCTATGTGAGAAGCAATTCGTGTCTAGGTATAAACAGCACAATTCTCAAGATTGGCCCTGAGGTTTGTTGCTGGTGATTGCAAACGCCAATCGAATTGGAAACTGCAATCTCTTAAATTGAGATGGCATATCTGTTGGAATCATAGGAATGCAAAGAATGAGGACATCTTCACCTTTAGAAGGTCCTGTCAAGATTGTTGCTTCAACGACGTCGCCGATTAATTATTTTTCTGCAAGGTGCATTGCGTTGCAAAGTTTTGGCTGGTTGATATTTCGCAACATGATAATTGGCAAGCTGATTTTCAATTGCCGTACGTGTGATGGTATCCCTGGCAGATCGAGTGAATTAAAAAATTCTGTTGGATAATTAACCGCTTCATCTGCTTCCTGAACAGTGTCGACGGACTTGTATGTGACTGCCTCGCTTTGTAAGTTAGACTGAACAATATTGTTAAGTTCGTAGACGTCTTTGTTCTTCCCCGCAAGAATAGCTCGTTCGCTCAACCAATCGTGATTCCTATAATTGGTTTGAATATTGGGAAATACTTTTTCAACCAACTCTTTTTTAACGTTACTAAATTACAGAAGTTATGAGGCAATGAAATTCGTTCTGAGGTCAGATCAACCGGCACGTTTCCGTTCCCAATTTCCAGAAATTGATGTGAGAATATCTCAGCTGATGGATCGTTTTGCAGTAGCTATATAACTACATGATATTTGTAGTTAATTTAAAGGTCTTTACGTGGTGCAACAAAGTAGAGTATTTCAGGCAAGCATTTATTTCGTCCGCTGGTGTCGCTTGAGGAATTACAGGTAATGAATGCCTGAAATCTTCTGTAAGCAATATTAATGCGATCCCAAATGGTCTAATGTTTCCACACAAATCTTGCAATGATCGATCAAGAGCCTCGAGCGATTTTTTGGGGCATTGTGCATTCATACCAGACAATAAGTTTGCATTTCTGCAATACTTTTCCCAGACCGGATACTTTGGAAATGTTGCAAGTGGGAATTTCAATGAATTGCATGTTCAATGGCGATTTCAAAGCCGAAGTAGCAGTTCTTCCACCTGGTAGCAATGTCGCAGCAATTCCAGACGATGCAAGAGCTAAGGTTATGCCATTTTGGAATCGAAATGCTGCCAGAATTAATCTAATTACGAATGTTTTACCAGTTCCTCCTGGAGCATCTAAGAAGATTTCTCCAAGCCCGTTATTGACAGGTTTGAATGATTCAATTGTAAATGCCTTTTCGCTCAAGCATTAGTCTAGGAATATTTGATTAAACATACGACAACAAATCACCCGTGTCGTATTTTTGTTCACAGCGCAATTCTACATCGAACGAAGCAGCAGCAGATCGATTCGGTGATGGCATTTCCAATTGATTGAGAACTTTGTTTGCAGTTTCTAAGCACAAATCTTCAATCATTATTAACGCTTCATTGTAGATTTTTGCTGTAAAATGCGTCGACATATATATGAATTTTCCTTGCGTATTCGATGGATAATATCGTCAGCCATGTGCGATTTATATTTCTCCCATAACTCTGTTGGAGATGAAGGAGAGCAGGCGGTCAATATAATTGCAAACAATTCATACATTTGATTTGGATGTGACGTGTTAGACGCGTCATTAATGCATACATCCCAGTGTCGGTCGTTCTCCAATAAATTCAGAGTTTGACATGCACTATGGGAAGTGGCAAATGTTACGCCGTTGACAAATCTCAGTTGCTGGAAAGACGTTGGATCGAGCACATTTACCAAAAGCATGCGAAGAAAGAAGCATTCATCTTGACTGGGATGCACGGTGTACAGTCTGCCTATCGTAATCTATTTGAAAATGCCAGGTTGTCCTTCGACTCACACTCCTCGTTTGCGCCGTTCAAATGATTTTCTACTGGCCTTCCAATTGTAATACGTAGGCACTTCTGAATAGAGCAGTGTTTTCCCAAACGCGTTATTTCGACATAACGTGAAGAAAGGAATTAACTCTGTAGCCGGTGGATTCATAGTTCAAAAAAATTCAAAGGATTCATAAAAATTCAATTTATCAATGCAATCGGAAACATTGAAATGGAATCGTATCATATTTTGTATAGCTTGTGTTGGTCTTACGTGCAACAGATGGCGCTGCTTAAAATAAAAAATAAAAAAATTACCTGTCAGAGGTGTGGCATCTACACAGTAGGTATATAAAAATATGCATGTATTAACATGGAACTTCGCGTCAAAATTTCAAAGCTATAGTAGGTGAAGAACTTTTGGAGATTAAAGCAAGTGTTGCTCCTGCGTCCAACAGATGGCGCTGTTTTTAAAAAAAAAAAAAGCATGTTTTTTTCCTGTCACAGGTGAGGCATGTATATAGTAGGTATATAAAAACACTCGCCTAATCCAATGCAACGTTGTGCCAAAATTTCAAGGCAATCAGTAAAGAGGTTTCGAAGATTTTCCTCACATGAAAAACTCATGAAAGCCCCAGTTTAAAAAAACATGTTTTTCCCGTCACAGACACGATATCGATATAGTATGAATATAAAAACTCGCTCGAATGTGAATTGAACGTTGTGTGAAAATTTCAAAGCAATCGGTGAAGAACTATCGAAGATTAGTGAGTTTCAACAAACGAACATTTCCATTTATATATATATATATATATATATATATATATATATATATATATATATATATATATATATATATATATATATATATATATATATATATATATATATATATATATATATATATATATATATATGTGTGTGTATATCACGAAAATAAACACGTGATTAAGAATGTGACAATGTCAGACCACGGAGGAAAAATGAAACAGGAAATTTCCTTAAGTACTTTCGTATATTAAATACATCTTCAGAAGGTCATTTTACAGATCGAGTGATGGGTATAAATAGGCAGGAAGGAGTGGTGAAGTAAGGTGAGGTACAATACTTGGACAACGCAGAAGGCCCATTGGCCCATCAGATGCACCCAATTGGCACATCCTATGTAGCACAATGGCCCATCTGATACAGCAGACATACAAGCATAATATATAGGTAATTATAACATAAAGAAGTAAATATATACAATAAATTAGTGAGACAAATGTTTTTCAATGATTCTACTTAAATCGCCCTTTAGCTGATCTATTAGAAATGGATCTAAGTTATATAGACCACTGCTAATATTCAAATTACTTTCTTTGGTGATCTGTATCAAAGCAGATTCAATTATGTTTCTGTTATAGGTGCTTTTACAATTTGTTATTGAAGAAGCACTCTCCCAATCAATTTGGTGAGCTTTTTCTGACAAATGCACAAACAAAGCATTAGACAATTGGCCATCACTCGATCTGTAAAATGACCTTCTGAAGATGTATTTAATATACGAAAGTACTTAAGGAAATTTCCAGTTTCATTTTTCCTCCGTGGTCTGACATTGTCATATATATATATATATATATATATATATATATATATATATATATATATATATATATATATATATATATATATATATATATGTGTATATATATATGTCTCTTCAGAGGTTGCATGGCGTTTCACTTTCCTTCTTATGATGTCTTCGACGAAACCATTGGAGAAGCCGTTGTTGACTAGGACCTGCCTTACCCTACAGAGTTCTTCGTCGACTTGCTTCCATTCTGAGCTGTGGCTGAGAGCACGGTCGACATATGCGTTAACAACACTCCTCTTGTACCTGTCTGGGCAGTCGCTGTTGGCATTTAGGCACATTCCTATTTTCGTTTCCTTAGTGTAGACTGCAGTGTGGAAACCTCCGCTCTTTTCCATGACTGTTACATCTAGAAAGTGCAGCTTCCCATCCTTTTCCATCTCGTAAGTGAAACGCAGCACGGAACTCTGCTCAAATGCCTTCTTCAGCTCCTGCAGATGTCTGACATCAGGTACCTGTGTAAAAATGTCGTCAACATACCTGCAGTATATGGCCGGTTTCAAGTTCATGTCGACTAAGAATTTTTGCTCGATGGTACCCATGTAGAAGTTTGCAAACAGGACACCTAGGGGAGAACCCATGGCGACCCCATCTACTTGCTTATACATGTGCCCATCCAGGCTCAAGAAGGGTGCCTCTTTAGTACAAGCTTGGAGTAGTTTCCTCAGAAACTCTTTTCCTTGGAAAAAAGCGGAGGTTTCCACACTGCAGTCTACACTAAGGAAACGAACATAGGAATGTGCCTAAATGCCAACAGCGACTGCCCAGACAGGTACAAGAGGAGTGTTGTTAACGCATATGTCGACCGTGCTCTCAGCCACAGCTCAGAATGGAAGCAAGTCGACGAAGAACTCTGTAGGGTAAGGCAGGTCCTAGTCAACAACGGCTTCTCCAATGGTTTCGTCGAAGACATCATAAGGAGGAAAGTGAAACGCCATGCAACCTCTGAAGAGACAACTAACACAACAACTATACCCCCTATTAGACTATTTTACAGGAACTTCTTTTCCACAGCTCATAAAACGGAGGAAAGGGTCCTGAAAGATATTGTTAATAGAAACGTTATCCCTACAGACAAAAATCAGAGGATACAACTGACGATTTACTATAAAACCAGAAAAACGGCCAGCCTACTCATGAGAAACTCTCCAGACACAAAGCAGAACGCTTTAAAAGAGACCAACGGCGTCTATGCCTTCAAATGCCCTCTTGAGGACTGTAAGCTCCAAAAAACCCAGTATATAGGCAAGACAACAACATCTCTTTCTAGGCGTTTAACGATGCATAAGCAACAGGGCTCACATAAAGCCCATTAATATAAATAATTTTATTCATGTATGTATATTATAAATGTATATAATTTTATCCTCAGGAATTGAATAAAAAAATATATGTGTGTATATGGTGTTCATTGTGCAG